TATTTTGGATGTTTTACTTAAAAAATCTGAAAAAAGATGGTATAGAAGCAAAACAGCCCAAAATCTCAAAATTGACCCGAAAAAAAATAAATAAAAAGGTTTTGTCTGTATTGTCTTTGCTTTAGCTACATGAAAAGCCTACAAACTGATTTTTATGGTGAATTTTTAATGTAATGTACAGAAATGCATACAAACACATGAACACAAACAATTGATTTTAAAGGGTTAGTTCACCCAAAAATGAAAATTCTGTCATGAATTACTCACCCTCATGTCGTTTCAAACCTGTAAGACCTTCGTTCATCTTCGGAACGCAAATTAAGATATTTTTCATGAAATCCGAGAGCTTTCTGACCCTGCATATACAGCAATGGAACTACCACATTCAAGGCCCAGAAAGGTAGTAAGGGCATCGTTAAAATAGTCCATGTGACATCAGTGGTTCAACCTTAATTTAATGAAGCTACAAGAATACTTTTTGTGTGCAAAGAAAACAAAAATAATGACTTTATTCAACAACACCACACGCATGTATGGTGGTACTCTCGTGAACGTGGGTTGAAGACAGACACGGAAGAGAAGAAATTGTTATTTTTGTTTTCTTTGCACACAAAAAGTATTCTTGCAGCTTTAAAAAAATTACGGTTGAACCACTGATGTCACATGGACTATTTTAATGATGTTCTCACTACCTTTCTGGGCCTTGAACGTGTAAGTTGCATTGCTGTCTATGCAGGGTCAGAAAGCTCTCCGATTTCATCAAAAATATCTTAATTTGTGTTGAAATTTGACATGAAACGTCCCATTAGATTTATTGTTGTATAGTGTATATTAGGAAAATTGCTGTTAAGCCATTAAGTGGATTAATATTAAAATTTTTAAAGTCTTTTGCCATTAAAATTAGAAATTTATTACAGTGCACTCTCATGTCATTGTTGAACTTGTATGACTTTCTTTCTTCAGTGGAAGTTTGAAAAATCTCTCCGGGGTTTTTTGTCATTATAATGAAAGTGCTGTTTCGAACTCCTATTGACTTTCATTCTATGGACAAATGCAGTTGAAACATGCTTCGAAATTCATATTTTGTGTTTTGTATCAGTAAATTAGAAGGTTTAAATGACTCCTTTTCCTTTTCAGCTCAGTCGAGACAAAGATGTCTTGAAGACCGGTCATGGCATCCTGCTGAAATCTCTCACCCAATTGGATGCCGGCCTTTACCACTGCCTGGCAACTGAGAACAACTTCAAACACACCGTGGCACGCATCTCCCTACGGATCCTGGACCGGGAGATCGTGGACGCGCTGACCGAGTCGGACGTCCCGATCGAACCAGAGCACCGCCACCACCATTCCCATCACCACCCTCCACCGCCGCCCCCTCCCCCTCAGACCAACCCACCTGCTCTCCAGCTCCACCCACAGCCTGAAGTGCGTCTCATCAACCAGTACTGCCAGTCCTACAGGCAGCAGATAAAAAGCCAGCCACTCAAAGCCAAACGCAGCAATCGCAGGCATACGGGAGAACAGGAAGGGGAGGAGCTACAGGAGCAGTGAATGAAACAGCACCTGGGAGGACCCTGTTGACCATGTCCCGTCCATGTGCCCCATCATTATGTCCTTCTTCTAGGCAAACTCGGTCCATTTAATAAAATGATTCATTAGATGTATCAGACTGTGTCTGAACTAGATTGATTTTCGTTTGATTCACTTAGCTCCCCTAACTAATCTAAATCTGGCTGTGATGTGCTCACTTCCATAGCTAGCATGAAACCACACATTTTTCGAAATGAATTCCTTAAAACGTCCAGCCACACCAGCAAAACTACTGCTGTTTTATGTTAAACATAAGCTATTCCATTCTAATATTCAGTACACCAATGACTGCAGTGTAAATACTATCAGAAACGTTTGGAAACATGTACGTTGTAGAGGCTTCAAAAGGTGTTTGGGGTGAAATCGAAAGATTGCTGATTCAGTCAGTCGTCTCTAAACCCCCACACCATAAAATACAGTTGTGGAAGGAATGTTTTGGAGCATTTGAAGATTACTACAATTATAGCACAATATATCTTGCCATCATTTTGACCACTAAAGCTTTTACTTTTCTTGGCATTTGCAATTTTTTTATAGAGTTTTCTGTAGTAAAGTCATTGCAAGAACAGGTCAATTTGTATGGACAACTAGAAGTGACAATTAAAATTAAAATGAATATAATATGAAAATATCTGTTTAAAATTAAAATTAATATAATAATTTAAACATTAAAATGGAAATAAATAGTTTTAGAAATTATAAATCGATAACTTATTTCTATCATTTTTACTTTTAAGTGTCACTTCTAGTCCTCCATACATTTGAGCTTTAATTTGAGTCTTGATCCATAACAGAAATTTGAAATCTTTGAACTGTAAAACAAGTAAAACAAAAAAAGTTTCTATCAAAAGTGATATTTCAGTATTATTCACGTTTATCGTTTCAGAAAAAAAAACTACAGATAGATTGAGAATTTAAAATAATTGCAATAACAATATTGGACATTAGATTAAAAATACATTAAAAAAAAGTTTTACATTTTAAATATGTGGATTGTAAAACAAAATATTTATCTAATACTAAAAATATTATATATTTTGTCTCTTTTTTTTTTGTAATGGAACAAGCAGTTCTTTGCAGCATGATTGGATCATTGCCCTGGAAATTTAAATGTTTTATTAGGACAAGACTGTGGACCAAAATGACAAAAATAAAAGTTGTTTATAGGGATTATGCATCGGAATTTCTCCTGTGTGATCAATGCAACCAGACGTAGATAGATATTAATGTGAAAAGCCCTGATACGCACTTCACAAGTCAGTTATCTTCTTTTGTCGTCTTGTAAAACAAATGCTTGTCCCCAACTACTATGAGTGAAGGGATCTTCCCTGATTTGAACTACTGTATATAGATACAGTTTTTCAGTCTGGTCTCTTCTGTCTTTGACTCTGGACTCTGATGATAGTCAGACCACTAAAAACATTCTCTCTCTCAATCCATCGAATTGAAACATTTTGTATTCCACGGTTTGTCAATGGTGATATGTGGTCATGTTTTTTGCTCGTGTATGAACACAGTATCTGTGCTTTGTGTTGTGTGACAATGACACATGTACATAGAAAATGTATGTATTCGACTAGTCACTGGTCAGGATTAAAAACTAACCTCCTCTCTTTCCTCATCTGTCACGTGACCCTCTGTCTTTCTCTTTTTCTCGCTCTCTCTCTCACCCACACCATACAACATATTTATTGTGAGAGTGTACATATTCATTGTGTTGTGCTCTTTGGTGGTGGGACAGGGCTGGTTTTGATGGAAAATGTCATTGTATGTATTGTTTATTAACAGGACCAGGACACATAGAGAGATGCTGAGGAGAAAGAGGTAGATGTCTTTGAAGAAACTATAATCAGTTAACCTGTAGACACATATATTTTAACATTTGAAACATTTAAATTAGCCTTGGGATTCTCAAGAAAAAAATATGGGCAAAAATAAATTCTTTTTATCAGTTGGCATGAAATATTTTTCATGTTTCAATATTTCGTGTTTTAAGCCAGAAATGTCTACCTCTTCAAGCACTTTCTATGGAATATCACTTGACACCAAACTAAAGGACAAAAGCAAGGGGAACGTGTTGTGTAATTTTCTTCTGAGAACATATACTTTGGCTAGCCCACGAATGTCATTTTTTTGAAAGGATAAGAGACTGTTTCTCTTCATTGAATGTTGGAGGAATATTTAAGACTGTGTTTAAAAAGCGCTCAAAGAAACGCTCTGTGGTTTTAACCCAAGACATGTTATCTGGTCTTGAAGGGTGGAGAACATATTCTAGAGTCCAAACCACATTTCTTTCCTCTCCACAGAGATGTTATTGTGCAGAATGACATCCGACACAACTTCTCTGAAGAACTTTAATGCCACATAGACTTTCTTTGTCCTGTTGTGTCTTTCGTTTGGTGTTGGTTGTTGAGCAAAACAGAAACTTCCTAAATATGGTTGCTTCCTAAATACTTCCTCTTTGTATTTACCAATGTTTGTGTATGTTCATGTTAATGTGATTGTTTGTGATAAATATTATTTTATTATCATGGTATTCTGGGATTTGGGAGTCCTGATAGGTGTTTTTTAAAGCAATAACAATAAACTGCTGTTTTTGTTTTTATCTGTGTATTTATTTATTTATTGTTCTAACTCACTGAACAACTGACATCTATCTATATCAAAAAGTATCATAAATACTTATTAATTAGATTAATTTACTACTTTTTGTAAACTTTTTTGTTAGTTCTACATTTGTCCTGTAGGGGGAGATATACAGAACATTGTACACGGCTTCAGAAAAATATATATATTATCTCGACAAGAATAACATCACTGGGTTTGTAGTTAAAAGAGACAGATTTGGAATAAGACCGTTGTTGAGTCAAAAGTATGTGCACATAGAAGGAAACATCCAACATAAAGCTGTGGTTAAACTTGGCAGTCCTATGTTTGGATGAAATCTAACACCACTCCTGGTTTGGCTCAACTAAAGTTCCTTCTTCCTAAATGAACTCACACTGAACTACTGCTGAGCTACTGAAGTGAAAGCTGGAGATGAAAACAGACCAGTCTTTGAAACAAGGCTGAGACACTGCAAAACAGACTTGAAATCTACTCATTGTCAAAGTTAGGGTTTTATTGCTTTATTGGATTTACAGAAGATCTTCAGATCATTCAGTGCAACTTTAATCTGGAATAACCTGAAGATTTCATGCCTATTGCTAAAATGATTTCCAATGAGCATCAGCTTTATGAGCTAATTTTTTTATGAATTGGTGGATGGCACAAGTTTGTGAACCAAGAGCAGAGAGAAGCATTATTCATCCCATTCATCTTCTTCATCTTCATCACCCCCATCATCTTCTTCATCTCCTGAAGAAAGACAGAGAAAAAAGTTTGTGTTTGTTTGCATCTAATTATAAAACGATTATGCAGATAGCTACTAAAACGTACACGTCAAAGAAATAAAAGTCTGCTATTATCCTAAAGTTAAAAGACAATCGCCTTTTCGATAGCGCGCCTTTATATGCAAGCAGCAACTTGAAAATAAATTTTAATGGACTCTTTTCTGTTTATTGGTGTTTTTTGTCTTGAGAGTTTCTTTTTTTGTGCGTAGAACAACCAACCAATCATAAAACTAAACAGCGCTCGTTTCATTAAATATTCATCAGCTTTGCGCAATCGCAGAAACGTTGACGCCTGCGCTGCGCAGCACTTCGTTTTAGCGTTTGAGAGAAAGTAACGTGTCAAAAAGTAACATAAAACCCGTTAATATAAGTGAAGAAAAAAACGTATATTTTTACATGGATGGTCCAGGACAAACTGGAATAGACTGTCAGGAAAAATGTAAGTCAAACTGATGCCCAACAAGGAGACCAGCCGCTATTTGAAACAGCTCGAGTGCATGCTGTGTTCCTCCAATCAATTAAACACAGCAAATATGCAAATAAGAACATTAAGACGCGATTTACAAATGTGAAATATGGAAAAGGATAACCTAGGCTAGGATCTTGTTAACCCATGTTTTGAATGACCCGTGGTTGTAAAAATAATAGATTTATTAAATGAGTTACCTGAGGAATGGATAACTTTACTCCTTTTCTGCATCACCATCATCAGAGCTCCCACAATTCCCCCTGAGGATTCATCTTGAGCTAGAGGATTAGGGTCCGGGGATTCAGACACCTGACATAAAAACCATGAAACAATGGTTATACCCAACAAAGCACAGTAAAATACCCATTTACAGCAAGATTTTTTTTTTTTTTTAGTGAAGTGACGGATGGCCCATACTTGGAATTTGTGCTCTGCATTTAACCCATCCAAGTGCATACACACAGTAGTGAACACAAACCCAATGAAACGGTGCCTGGAGAGCAGTTGGAGGTTTGGTCCCTTGCTCAAGGGTCTCACCTCAGTCGTGGTATTTAGGGTGGAAGAGAGCGCTGTACATTCACCCCCCACCACCTACAATTCCTGCCAGACCTGAGACTTGAACCCGCAACCTTCGGGTTACAAGTCCAACTCTCTAACCATTAGATATATATACAGATATATAAAATGATAACGATAAAGATAAATATAACTAGGCCTATGCACGATAACGTAAAAAAATAGGCTAGTTCTGAAAGTGATTGCACTGGTATTGTTCCTCTGTATCGCTATCGTTATAGCTGTGATGCTGACTTCCCTATTCTCATTTAATTATAATGATTATTATCACGTTATCGTTACTATGAACAGCCCTTAATACTTATAGAAACGACTGAACAAAATGCATTGCATCTGCATCTCACGTACATTCTTTAGCACACGTCCACGGCGAATTTCCTCCATTAAGGTACCTCGTCCTCCAACACCAGAGGGAGGAGGAGGTGGTGCTGAGCTGCCAGGACTACTGGGGATGTTACTGGCTGAAGAAGGCGGCGGCGGTGGAGGAGGAGGTGGGGGCGGAGGTGGAGGCGGTGCACCGCCACCCATAGGTGGAGGAGGTGGCTTGTGACTGTGGCTGGGGGGTGGTGGTGGCGGGAGAGAAGATAGCATAGGGGGTGGAGGCCCAGAACGCCCTCCAGGTGGTGCAGGTGGCGGTGGACCGCGATGCGGGGGTCCAGGGCTTCGTGAAGGTGGTGCAGGACGTCCAGGTGGACCTGGGACTGGGGGACACCCGCCGCGAGGTGGAGGAGGTGCAGGGGCAGAACGAGGACCTTCTGGGCAACAAGCATAATTAAAGTCAAATGAAACTGAAAAAAAAAAGAACCGGGACTTGGTTCTATTGATTGGTTGTTGATTGGATGGAGGCAGATCTGAATGTGAGTTTGTGGTCGATTGTGAGAAAGGGGCGGGGTTTATGCAGACAAAATGATTGGAGAAGTCCGGCATATGTCAGCAGAGAAGTCTGCCTTTTTCATCGGAAGATCAAGTCATGACATTTTGAAAAAAATTATGAGCTCAAAATTAAAAATGATTAAATAAAGTATGCGTAGATTAATCGCTTACAATAAGATAAAAAAGATGCATTTAGAAAATAGATCTGAATTTTCATGTCATGCTGACATTAAGGATCTTATCAAGGTGAAATGATCCAAATGAAACTTCCAAATATTCCACACAGAATTTATTACATTTTGATTTTTGAATGAGCTCACCCTGTTTCCTCATTTCCTCTTTTACTGCGTCCAGACCTCCAGATTGCTCGATGAAGTCATAGATGATCTTAGATGTTTCTTTGTCTGCAAGCTGGGCATCACTGATACCAGCACTGTTGAACAGTTTCTTCAGGTCAGGGTGTTATGATATTTTGATAAAAAATTATGAGATCAAAATTTAAAATAAATAAATAAAATATGCATGGATTAATCGTTTACAATAACATCAATAAGATGCATTTAGAAAATAGATCTGAATTTTCATGTCATGCTGACATTAAGGATCTTATCAAGGTGAAATGATCCAAATGAAACTTCCAAATATTCCACACAGAATTTATTACATTTTGATTTTTGAATGAGCTCACCCTGTTTCCTCATTTCCTCTTTTACTGCGTCCAGACCTCCAGATTGCTCGATGAAGTCATAGATGATCTTAGATGTTTCTTTGTCTGCAAGCTGGGCATCACTGATACCAGCACTGTTGAACAGTTTCTTCAGGTCAGGGTCAAGATTGTTGGTCTAGAGGGGCCAAAGTCAGTGTTCATATATACAGGTTTGTTACTTTTTACCTTTATCATTTCAATTAGAATAAGCATTGAGTATCAGTTTATGTGACGAAATTTGCTTTATGCAGTTTTAAGGAAAAAGGACATTTCTTACATCAAAACCAGAGTTTGGATCCCACCCAACATGAGTGACATGACTGAAGAGGAATGAGAGGCAGCATCACGTCAAACAAATGAAACAAAACACAAGGTGAGTGTCCAACTTATGGGAAAATTCTCTTACTTGAATCCACTAGGAGCTCCGATATCTGCCTTAGTGAGCTTTGGGCCTTTCTTCTTTCCCTTTTTGTCCTTTTTGCCTATGGAGAGTGAGGCTGGTGCGGGGGTCAGCACTGGGGTGGAGCGGTACCTTGATGCCACAATATCTGGGTTCTGGATGTCCACCGTGGCCATTACATTTGGTTGTGAAACTGGACCTGGTTATTGGACATATATAGGTTAAACACTTGCATTTATCAATGAGTTAGACCATGTGATCACTGCAAGATACGTTAAAGTTAAGGACATTTCACCCAAAAATGAACTTTTTTCTTCTGCTGAACACAAAATACGGAGTTTTGAAGAACAAACATTGTCTAAAACAACTTTGGACACCATTGAATTTCAATACATAAGAAAAAAACACTGGGACATTTTTCAAATTATCTTCTTTTGCTTTCCACAGAAGAAAGGAAGTCATAAAGGTTTGGAGGTGAGGGTGAGTAATGATGACAGAATTGACATGAAGTGCATGAAGTGTTTAAAAGTGACTCACCATTTGTTGGAGGGGTTTGTGGTAGTGCCCGGTTTTCTGTTAATAAAAATAAAACCAGCCTTAAAATGCTAATCTAACAGTTAATACTAAGTGTATGTTTAACCTTGTCCACACATACCTTCAGACGGAGCATGCTGTTTTTTTTCTAAATATGCATATATATAAAAAAAAGGCACAAAGAGATACTGATGAAATATGAGGATTTATGGGTAATGAGCCTAGCAAAAATTCATATAAAATATGAATGAGAATGACAGTAACTGACCCTGATGATTGGATCTCTGATTAATCTTTTCCACAGTCATGTTTCTGAAAAATTCAGCTTCTGTCTCACTGGCAAAGTTCAAACCTACTTGACAGTCCTGAGACACAAGTGCATTCAAATATATTAGATCTCTTAGATTGTGAGATTTAGATTTTCCAGTGAAAACTTGCGTTTTACACAGCGTTGAGTTTTGGCTTGCATTGAGATTTTTAAAGGGCCTGTACCCACATCAGCTGCAAAAGTGTGGAAGAATCTCATTGGACAGCAATATGTCATCTGATTATACAGCTCTTGCTCCCAAACCATTTTGCCTTCCTGAAAATAAATAAATAAATGACATGAACATGCACGAATATTATCAAAGTCTAAATGGTGCTACCACCGTATGACTTCATGAGCTGAGTTGAGTTGCTGTGAATCATAACTCAAAGCAGAAAGTGTTTCTTTATTTAATTTCAGCCTGCTTGGCCACAGGTCAAGCTTGGTCATGCTAACAGGAGTCAGTATAAATCCATTTATCATCCTGGGCTTATATATAATCTCAGAGAACATCTTTATCTGCAAAGATGCTAGATGCATAAACATTCTGCATAACAATTCTGATGAATTAAAGATCAGTTATGATCATTTTTTTGCACTACAGTTTAGAATCTGAATTTCTAACCTTTATGTCATAGAGCCGGATGTAGTATGAACGTTTAGGATTGTCCTTAACGAAACACACAACTCCTGTATGTTGGAGACTCCATTGGGTCGGACTGTGAGGAAGAGCCATGTACAACTGAACAACCGCTGTGGCCATGGTCTGCACACACACACACAAACACAATAAACTGACATAAAAGTGCATTAATAAAAGATTAATGAGTGAAGTATTACAACAAAAGCTAAAGCAAAGACATCAGCATCCTCTACAACAACAGGAAGTGGCCTCAAACAGCATTTCCTCTCGCTCTCCAGTTAAACTTTGCCGTTACATACATCATTTGTCACTGCAGCAGACAGGTTAACAGTGTTGTGAAATGTATATATATATATAATATATATATACTTTTTTTATAATGTAAGTTTTCCTAGGTGGAGCTAATTGCAAAACTTTGGCTTTTACAGCATGTTCTGTAACAGGTTGTTTTGTATGCATTCTCTTCATCTTTTTCATTGCGCACACAGACAACGAAACAGCTTGAAAAGCTGAGTCTCCCTTTGACCTTTAACTGACATCAACAGTAACAGCTCCAGTCTCATCTGTGACTTCTGCACCATGTCTGTCCTTTCAGGAGTTTCTGTTTTATATCTGATTGATTTATATCCCCAAAACATCCTCTGTGGGACAGAATGTCCATCCGTGATTGGCTTTCTAATCAAAGTGACTTCACTCACCACGCATCTCCTTCCCAGCAGCTCTAGCAGGCGTTCATTCTCCTGGCTGCTGAGAAGAGAACTCTGCACGATCTCGTGCCCCTTGGCTTTTCCTCTGCTCATCTCTCCTTGATGTAATGGACACTCAGATTTTGGGACTCCACGCCTGGGGCCCTTGCTTAGCCCACAGTACCTGCCTGAAGCCTTTTTAGAACATGCAAATGGTTCGAAGGAACTGTTGCTTCCGTGTTCTGTAATCTGATGTAAATGCAGCACAGCAAAAGAGAACAGGAAGAACAAAACCACTGCGCAGATCTGCTCTCAGAATGTCGTGGACAGGCACGTGTTCCTTCGCTCACATAAAGAAAGGAGGAGCGCCTTGTCCATCCTCCTTCACTCATATAAGGTATATATATATATATTCAACATTTTCTTACATGTTAAAGAAAAAAGATAATAGGAAAAATAAGTAAAGGAATGAACAATAAGAAGTCAGATAGAGACATTATAAATGTCATTGTCCTCACAGGGGTACACAAAAAATAAATACATACATGTTGCACTTTTTAATACTGACCACACAATTTTTATTGAAAACGGCAAGTATGACAAAGTCAAAGGCCAGTTCAGTAAACCAACAAACAAATGTAAAAGCAGTCGAAAAAGGCACTTCAACTGCCAGCTCTCTTTGGTGCATTTGTGTTTCACATTGGAACTGTCGATCTTTAACCTCATACAATTTTGGCACCTGTTTTCTAATTAACTAACACAGAGTCATTGAAACAATGTATTTATTTCCCCTAAAACAGAATAAATAGGCATTGCAGGACAGTGGGAACTTGAAGAGGAGGGGGATTGCCATTCTTTAATGGTATTAGCAATGGTCTGATACTGTGAGGGGGTGTGCATTGAGATCACTTTCAAGCGTTGCATTGTCTCGCAGTCTACAGGGGACCAGGAGGAAAAGATGTCATTTAATGACATGCAAAGTCATTGTTGATTTTGTTGTGTAAGAGTTTTCGGCAATTGTTGGTGCTTTTTCATGAGTAAAAATTTCAGTGGGGTCTAAAAAATGTTCTGTTTCCTATTTAATAGCTTTTCTTTTACAAACAGCCTATACAATCACTTTTCCATCAATTCCTATCTAACTTAATTAAAATAATTAGAGATGGGTTGGACAATTCATGACACATTATACTGTTGTTAGATTGACAGATCATTGAGAATATGGCATGAATCACTGTATTCACAGGTTAGGCTTTGTTTGCATCATTATATGCATCACAGCAATGTAATTAAGCACCGTAACCATAGTTATTCACCTGTTCCTCACAATAGGTGGCATTCCACCCCACTGCACCACAAAATACTGCAACTATATGTACCTCACATTTGTTTGACATAATATCCAACAGAAAGAAAAAAAAACCTGAAACGGTGTAAAGCTGATTGTCTGTTTCAATTGTAGTGCTGTTTATATCACACAATATTTCAGGACCAATTTTCAACTGAAATACATTTTTTTTTCTGGTCAATTTCACAAATTCATCAATTTAATTCTCGGATATAACAGACACTGACATATTCAGTTCAGGTCTGCAGCCATTCTGAGATTATGTTGAATTTCCTTATCATGAGCAGCATTTTTGGTAACACTTTACATGAAGGGGTGTGCATAAGACTGACATGACACCTTCATAATCATGACATGACACATGTCATGAATATGAAGGAGGTTTTATGCATGTTTATGACAACTGTCATTAAGTGTCATTCGCTCAGTTATGTCATTTTTAATGCAAATATGACATTATTTGACCTAACCCTTACCTAACCCTACCCCTACCCTTACCCCTAACCATAGCCCATAACAAAGACATCTCAAACAATGTCATCTTTGCATTAAAAATTACATAACTGAGCGAATGACACTTAATGACAGTTGTCATAAACATGCATAAAAAACCTTCATATTCATGACATGTGTCATGTCATGATTATGAAGGTGTCATGTCAGTCTTATGCACACCCCTTCAAGTAAAGTGTAACCACATTTTTTAATGAACAAATTGAAGCAGGAAAATATATTTCAATTTCCCTAATATTGCACTCTGGGACTATGGCTTTCATTTGATGAGGACAACAGAACAGATGATATGTGACAAACTTGATTGTTTCCTGGTATCCATCAGACAAAACAAACCTCTCCAGTTGTTTATTTTGGTTTCTGCTGTATCTTTTAGCATTATTTTAAAGCTATTTAGCGGACTTCCATCTCCAACACAAGCATCCTTTATCGTTACGAGGCCCGTTTGTAGAAACAGCCTCAAATTGGCATGACATTTATGTGTCCCCCAGAAATCCTCCACCATGAAACATCATAGGATTTTTTATCCATGTTTATTTTAAAGATGGCAGGACATCAGTCCTTTCCTTACTCAGTGTGAAAACAGATCTGAGGTGAGTTGGGTCCAGCCTAAGTGATGTTTTGGTTTCTCTCAGGTTCAGGAGAGGGGTAGTGATGTTCCTCTAAGAAGGCTTTTTGGACCCTTACAGTATAGTGTTTGAAGATCAGTGACCTCCTCCACTTCGATTCTCTCCGTAGACCCAATCCAGTGTGATGAACGTCATGCTCATGCTCATAAAGATGAAGCCCAGAGCAGTGAAGCAGGCAGCCTGAAACACAAGAGCAGGAGCTTTTAATCACTACGAACATCTGACTAACAGGTAACCATAATAAAATTGCATTCTCTTTTGATTGATTTGAACCTTATTTTCATTCAAAATGTAGAGAAAGTTTAAGACATGCCTGAATTTTTGGTCTTGAGTTCATTGGTTCGCTGGACACGATACGGATGTAAAAAAGACCTGGGAGAATGAAGATCAAGCTCGGAGCAGAGGTTGCACCTATGAAATGAACAAAAAATGAATGACACTTCTAAGCTGAAGGTGTGGTCACGTTAGTGAAATTTGGGCAAAAAAGATCCATTTGCTAACTGTCAGTATAGTGTCAGTAGTCAAAGAGATGTAGGTAGCACAGCGTGCACAGAAGTCACTTTCAGTCATTTAGTCATTTATTATGCTTATTAGATTTTCTTGCAACTAAACTAAAACTACAGTAATGTTCTTTCACTGCATTGCAAGCACTGGTATTTTCTTTAAGTGCTTTTCATTATTTACTCACCAATGATGCCGAAAATGTCACGAATGTTGGGCACACAAATGACAAGCAGGTTGACTACGAAAAGGAGACACAATGCAATAGAGATGTGACGCACCCAGTGGAAGGGCTTATCAGGGAATAGAAGCTGAAGGAGGGCTCTACGAATCTGAAAACACAATATGACAAAGAAATTGAAATAATTTAAACATCTGCCCTGCATTCAAACATTGTTTACTGAGTCTTTCAACATTAAAGGGACACTCCACCCAAAAATGAAAAAAAAAAAAAAGTCAACACCAGTTAAGTAACATTTGAAACTTCTTAAACTGTAAACCATTGTTTCCGGCCAACTGTCTTACACGGGTTCATGAGGTCACGCTTGATGTAAGCATGACCACATTGTGATTTAAGCACATTGTGTGAAAGTGCTGACATAGTGCTTTACCAAGCTCTCATGAACCAAGCATATGACAGTTGGCTGGAAGTGCTGGATTATAGTCCAAAAAGTTGAAAATGGTAGTATATGTCTCACACATTCCATTCATTTCTCTTGAGAAGACATTGATTTATCAACTTTGGTCATATAGATTGTTATCATGTTCGGTTTGTGTGGTTTTTGAAGCATACACTTGCAGTATATGCACTCGAAAAAATGTATGTTCATCTGGGACCGCATAAGTGCGAGTATCATTTTTGTGTGGAGTATCCCTTTACATTTTGACAGTATGTTACAACATGGTTTTGTCTTTTCAGAAATATTAACCAGGAAAGCTAGTTGGATATCACCATGTAACTCTGTCAATAAAGAGTCTCATTACCGGGAAGAGCACAACAGGAACAGTCAGCGTCACGGCCACCAGCACGGCCACACGCACACACAGGATGAGCGTGTCCAGAGGATCCACCTTGCTGTAGGTGTGTAGAAGTTCTGCCTCTGTGTTTACTAAGAGATTCATATATATTGAGATTAACTATTATTTCTAGGCTGTGCTTAAATTACACACACAAGTAAACAGATACAGGTCCCAAAACTTGTTTATTTTGAAACAACTATGGCAGAGACAAATGTGAGTCTAGCCTATAACCAGACAGCATCAGTGATGCCTCGCTTGCAGCATTAGACAAAAGGTTTAATTTATAATCCAGAGTGCTTACAATAAAAGGTGAGGTAGCCAAAGATGGCAGTGAGCAGATACATGACAAACATCCCCAGGATGGACACGTTGGCAATGGCCTGCATGCGTCTTTTTGTGGGACTAGAAGTATCAAAACAACAATCATAAAAGGAGATTTATTTTTGACTCATGTCTCTCTTTTTGCAACAAAATAAGAGAATCTTCCTTTTAAACACCCAATGTCTTGATACAGTTTAAAAGTTTTAAAACCAAAGTTTTGAATGGTAGTGTATATTATAAGTGTCTGTCAAAAGAAATACAAACTGTTTTTTACACCACCATTATTATTAGTGGTCATGAATATTTTCATAGAGAGCGTGTGTTTTCTGAACGTACTTGCGCAGCTCGGTGTAGATCGGCAGCACCTCAGGGTGGCATACAAAAGCGAAGGCCAAGATGGGAACCGTGTAGGCTGTCTGCAAAATAACCAGAGTAACTGAAATTACACAAGGCCGTTCCCAAACTCACACAGTGAGGCGGTCTCACACCTGTGTCATCATACTGAAATTAGTAGTTGCTTGCTAACTTTATTTCCATCGACGTACTAAGCATTTCCTGTCTGTTTCTGTCTGACCTGGTGTGGAGGTCATAAAGAGTTAAACATGGTACTTAGAAATGGACTTCCTGAATAGATTCTTGCAATGATAAGGACAGTTCCTGACCTGCTGGTTGATAGTGAAGTATTTGGCTTCACATTCACCATCAATAGATATGTTTTCAGCAGTGTGGTTGGTGAAACCATCAAAAGGACAAGGGATGTTGAACTTCTTATAGATGACCTAGGGAACACAAACGTAAAGTTAAAACGACAAACAGGAGAGGACGAAAGCCAAAAATGAGACAAGGAGAAAGAGAGCCAGAAATATCGAAGAGTGTAAAAGAGTTTATAAGAGAAGTAGCAATGTTTTGAGTGATCTTTTGATCTTTTCACAAAAAGCCCACACACAGACCACAGCATTAAGCATTAACTTACTGAGATCAGGAAGAAAACCATACATGTCAGAGAGAAGCCACTGGTGTAACCCAAGTACCCTGCAACAAAAAACAGGCAATATTTCACAAAATGTTCATATTATACTATATTATCACCCAGCTCTATTCTGCTAATATGGGACTATAAGGCATGAAGATACGTTAAAATACTGTAAACATATATACAACGCTATACAAATCAATTTGACTTGACTTGGTTCTGTCACCAGTTCACTGTGGTTATTTCAGTTCGTTTATGGTTACAAATCAGTGCTTTCAACAGAAATCATTTACCACATTTAAAATCTGAAATAAAAATTTTAAATCTGAAAATTTTCAATTAGTCCCAAAACCTGCCACAAAATATTCTTTAGAACATCAATAAATCACACTGGATTCTACTTTAGGATTCTACATAAAAAGCAATGGATCCTTTTAAATGTGTTTATGAGCAAAGTAGATTGTGAGAGGACAATATTATGGACATTGGCAATGTGACAAGCAAATAGAAAGGATGAGAAAAGGATGGATTCACAACAAGCACAGAGCAGAATGGCTTACCAAGTTGTCTCATCAGGGCAAGGGGCAAGATGATTAAAATGGACACAATGATGATCAAATAGTTGCCATTCAGGAACCACTCACTTCAAAAAAGGAGAGAATAAGTTAAAGTGAAAAACCAGCCAACTCACGTTCTGCAAGGAACTTAGCAAATGTTTGTGTATTTCAACAACAGATGGGGGATTTGGATTGCTCTGAGGCTGGAATGTTCCAGCGGTTACCTTGGATGACCCAAAAAATTTTATCTAATTCTTGGCTAGATTAAATTAAACTCATTAGGAGAACACGGGGTTAAGCAGATGATTGTTTTCTCACCCACTGCTGTGCTGAAGGCCAAGGAAAGCCTGAATAACCAGAGGTAATTCATACTTCACAATGAAGAGGTAGCTAGACATAGCTGAAAGAAAGAGAGAGACGGATACATCAAACACAGTTTGGTCGTACTGACTCCCTTATACAGTAAATGGCAGATCTTTGTAGCTTGTAGACTAAGGTGACTTTTGCCTGTGGAGTATATATTATAATACCGCTGGCAGGACAATAAAACTTTTGTTAAATCGTCTGAGAGAGAACATTACGTAACATAGTGCTGCTATCATATGGACATATATCATTCCTCATAAAACTCAGGGACTGCTACTAAACCACTGTATTTTTAAAGGCTTATGATCATTTAAAAGCCTTTATAAATTTACATTTTCATGTCCTACTAACAGGCCAAAGTATAGAGAGATATTATTTCAATCTAATGGAGAATAATATATCATAATCAGTATAACTGGATCTGGTACAGTGTTCAACGAAAGAGTCAGCAAAAAGATACAAAGAAAAAAGGGAGATTGAAAATAAGATCAGAACTGACCCAAAACTCTGACTTACCACCAATGTTGTGCATTGTTATGACAAGAGCTGCCAGTATTTTTCCCGGGTGTCCAAATGCTCGTTTACCCAGTTGTTCATAAGCGCGAATCCCTGTACAGACAGGTTAGTGATATAATGATTTATCCTGATGGACTAACTAAAATCCTTATATACAGTGGGGTCCAAAAGTCTGACATCACACTGAAAATATGGCATTCAAAATTTAATTTAACCTGAAAATAATCAAAAAGCTTTAGATTAAAGATTTAAAGTTTAGTTAAAATTTTTAACGTTTATATTCAATTATGTCTTCATCATTGTCATTATATCAAAAGAGTGACAATAACAAGACATTCTGAAATGTGTATATATTTGATATGACATATATTATTATATTAATTATTTATTATTTACTCTCAATTCAGCTTTTCACTCAAATTGCTATAATGATTTTTAATAAAAATACTGTATTTAATTGAAATAGAAGCATTTATATAGAAGCATTTAACCCCACTGTACAAAAAGAAGCAATATTAAAAGTCTCTTTTTATTTTTATAACACAAACATTTTAAATAATGACCAAATCTCTTGAATCGGCCGTACCTACAACCCCTGCGCTCCTCAGCAGAAGATGGACAGAGTATGATGACATGACAGCAATGCAGGTCAACAAGATCCTGTTAAAACAGAACAGAAAAACATAAATGATGATTTGTCTCATGTAAATGCTCTATGTAGTTAAAAATATGTGCTAAAAACAATCAAAGATTTATATAATGTTTATTAGATCATTCAAATGGTTAGAAATTCCATGTACGGTCACTTACATTGCATCTAGTTGTGAAACTGAGGGATTTGAGGTGCATTCTGGGATACTCACAGAAAGAGAATGATACCAGTGTTGGACATGGCGTAAGACAGTCCCAGAATCCCACTGCCCATGATGGCATTGCTGAGGTTGAAGACAGACATTCCAAATGACGTCTTTCCTTCAAACTAGCAGAAACAACAGACACAGAGACAATAAAAGGGAAGGAGTGGGGGGGAAATAACAACCACAGATTCATTATAGACTGGTGAAAATCGGCTGCTTTATTAATATGAGCTTGATTTCTGCACTCACATCTGTAAACTGAGGGGGTTTTCCTCCATCACTCTTGTGTGGTAAAAACTCCTCTTGTTCAGGTGACTCTCTAAAACATATAGACAAAAGTCACACTCTATAAATGCAGCAATTATCAGGACATCAATTATGATGCTACAACGTTTAAAAGTCGAATGTGTAAGTATTGGTAGCGTAGCCTGCTTGTTCACTATAGTTAACTGTTTGGACCTTTTTCATTTACTCTTTACATTTATTGTCCCCTGACATTCATTTTGTAGGCAGTAAATGGTAAATCAGGGGGTTCAGTTCATAAAATTAATTGAAACCAAGGACCTTTTCCAAATTTTATGTCAAAGGTAACCCTTTTGCCTTACAAGACCCCCATTAAAATGATACAAAGTAATGTGCTTGAAATTTAAACAGCCCAGGCCCAGTTTATCATGGTGTTTATATGTACTAAAATGTGTCAAGGATGATATCACTTAATATGTTGATGTTGAACAGTTAACGCTGATTTGTTCAACCTGTATGGAATGCATTAATGTGACTATAAATCCAAAGTTATTTCTTGTGTGCTAATGAGGTGAAGGCTATGCTGTGGTATGGTGCTAAATTTCTCACTCCCTGGAAAAAAATATTTTAATGATGTTGCAATGCTCACATTTTCCTTTTAGGTTCATTTTAAGTTCACCCAAATATTCACTTAAAATAAATGTAACTCTGCTTATGACTATCTAGCGTAGCGTTAGTTCTGGCAGGTCACGTTAGTCAAGCTCGCATCAGCTGATCCCCATCAACCTATGGGAATACGACACCTATCTAAGCATTCATATATAAGGTCCCTCAGTATTATCAGCAATTTTTTGCATTGCTCAATTACCCTCCTCCATCCCCAACTCCTCCTCTGTCAGTCAGGATTCAGCCTTCTGATTCTCCTTTGAATCAGACTAATTCTAAAATGTGCACATAACATTATTGAACTTTAACGATATCTGCAATACATTTTATGTTGGTTCTGTTCTGTTTACCCAGGGGGGGTTATCGCTGCTCTCCCTGCTCTCATCCATGCTAGGCTGCATGGATGCGCAGGGAGTTCTTGCCCAGAACAGAACCATACCGCCAATCCAAACTGTATGCTAATTGTCAATCATCTTTGATGATAGTGGTCCTGACAGAAGTGGTGTTCTAGAAAAGCAGATGGTGAAGCAACCGAATAGTGTGTTTGCTTTTAGCATGAATCTGCAGGCCAATAGAAAATAGATATGTAGTGACAGATTTAGTGACACAGAAAGCGTATTCGCAATTCTGTTTTTAAAGCAAAATCACTTTTAATGAATGACACATACCCTTCTTCAAGTTGTTGAAAGTCTTGGTGGTGACCGTTTGTTAGTTTCTGAAGTTCCATGATGTATTATTTCTTTCTTTTTCTCTTTTGAGCAGTGAAAGTTGTGAAAAGTGGAGTGAAGCGTTTTCTCTAAAGTAGATCTGCAAGAAATAAATGACAATAAAAGCAGTTAAAGCAGACTAAAATACGAATGTCACTTAGTTAGCAGCATATATACAGTACTGTATTTACACTGATTAATACTAATAATACTAGACTAATACTTAGTCTATACTAATGTTACACAATTTTTGCAATGACAATCGCTACTTTTGAGCAGCCTTAACTCAGATACCTGAGACTATCAAATGCACTTTTTGACCCTGTCTTCATATAACTTTATATTTAGACATAATTTTCCTTAAAGTTATCCAATGAGAAGACCGTGAGTGCTGTCAAAATATAACTAAAGGTCCAGGAAGCATGAGGTCCATGTGTCTGTTTCCCACCACCTCTATTGTGATTGGCTCTTAAGGTTATGTTTCAAGTGGGGAAAGAGCATAAACATACACAAGAGATCTGTAATTCTGGGTTTATTTTGGATTCTTGCCTTTTCAATTGTGTAAATGAACATTCATAAAGAAACAGCTCCTGAGAAAGCAAATTTTTTAAGAGCTAATTTGACAGACATGTCAAACACCACACTTCTAGGAAAATTATTGTTCTGGTACAAAATGACGTTCACTATGTGTGTGAATTCACTCATGAACAAAGAGCTTTGGAACTGTGACTTCTTCTGTGCTCCATTTAGTCATTTCGTTACTCTAAAAGCATTGTGTACACTATAGTGACCGAAACTCTACAAGATTTAGTAGTATACTTCTTTTTTGTGTGTTGCTACGCCACTCATACCCAAAGGGGACACACATCCAATCTTTACTGACTGACATGAGTGGCCAAAACTGCCTCTGGAGAGACGCTACCTTTGACATTCTGTCTTTTAGCTTTTACAAGGACTAGAGGTCAGTGTTATTTTAGTATCACTGAGAGACTATTATAGCTTTTTAAAAATATTGTGTAGTGCAATGTGTAGTGATTACAGTCTGCACAGTATTGAATTAAATGTACATGTGTACTCTATCATTATGACTGACATCAGTCAAATCAACACTAGTATGTTATGTATTAACTCTATAGTGGTTTGCGAACTACTGATGGTTCAGATTTTGAAATCAGTGGGATCTATTCCATACGGCGGGAATCATGGTCGCATGTTAACAAACGTAACAGTATGTGACTCAAACAGCTCTACTAAGAATGTTTCTTGCAACGTGTATGCGAATTATCGCACAGTGTCTCGAAGACGTAAGAAAGTGTAAATGGAAAAAAATCCCTCTTCAAATGCCAGGGCAAATCTATCAGAAAAATGTAAACAAATATGAGATCAGCGTGTTTATAAGACCCTGTGGAATGCTGTGGGAAGAAGCAACAAGGTGAATTACTGTTGGATATGAAATACACAGTCACATTCAGCCATAAGTCTGAATACGTGGCTCAGTCTTCGGAGGTTTGTAAACTTTCCAGCAGCCTCTGGCAGCTGTAGTTCCCAAACTGCTTTCCGAGCGCAACCTTGTACACCCAAAACTTGATAAGATTTGTTGTAATAATACTGCCAGCACATGGTGATTAACGCTTTGGTCTTTCCTCAAACACACAACATCTTGTAATAGATAGGTTTATGAAATGAAAAGTAATTGAGTTTAAAAATATAATATGCTTTGAGAATGTGCAGTGCATATTTAGAAAATCTAAATATGATTATACATAATTACTTTAAGATACACATCTGGAAGATGTAAAAGCAACACAGCTCTTTCAAAAGCTTGTGACTCTTATTAGCTTCAACTGATTAATGGATTGTCACTATATATATAGTTTCCAAAATGTAACATTGAGTTGCCAGCCTGAGATGTTGTCCTTTTGTACTGTGGTCTGGCAAAATTCCACACTGTGTGGTAAAAGTCATTAAAGTGTCTGACCCATCAGGCTGAATGGTAATTCTGAAGTATCTGTAGAGTGGAGAATTGCATAATCTGTGATGTTTATGTAAGCCTGCACTGTGAAATCCAATAGTTTACCTTACTTAGATTTAATTAGTTATCTTTCACTAGTTGCATTCACTCATTTCCCAAAGTCATCTTGAATGTTGAATTCTCAATACAACTGAAATATTTGAGAGAACATCACATAAGCTAACTTCATAAATTGATGTTGATTTTCCTAAAATGTGGAGTTTTTTTAACTCACCATTATAGTGATTAGCGTTTCCATTGGTTGGGCACTTGGAACTTGGTTTATGTTACTATAATTTTCTTTCTGTTAATGCAGCAATGCATCATGAAGTCTGAGATATTTGATTTCAAGGGCAGAAAAGTAATAAATAGGTTGATTTTAGAAGATGACCTATCATTTTATTAAAGCATTAGTGACTCTATTGTGTGTGTGTGTTTATTAATTTTTGTTGTGCTGCTACTGACACAAGACAGCAAATAAAATTGTCAAATAAAATCAAGAACTGTAAAACAAAGCAACTGCATAATTTATTCATGCCGCAATGCATTCTGGGAGTCAGTGAGCAGTGATGACTTATACTAAGTCATGAGTAAACCTAAAGGAAAGGATCAAGTACCCCCTACAGTTATTTTTTAGTTACTAGAACTCTCGTGTAAGTAAACTATACTAACTAAGCATTTGTCAGTACAACATACTATTCCTATTTCACTTTACTTAGTTTTTTCAAGGCAATCGGTTTGCATGCTTTTTTTAAGTAAGCCCAACTAATTAGATTTTACAGTGTGTGGGCACATGAGCACAATTAAACAATCATGAAGCATTGTGGAAAGTTATAGCACCTTCTCATAAACTCACAATTATTATTTCTTGCCTAAACTCACTACTGTAAGACTGATAGATTTTTTTTTTGTAACAGTCATTTACGGCCATATATGTAAATGAAGAGTAAATTGTACAGTATTGAAACCTTGATCATTTAGGCTAGTAGAAACTATATAGAGATAGATCATGTACAATATGAACGTACAATTATAGTACATCGTAAACAATCAGTTTCATTGTTACCTAAAACTAAAATTATCAATCAAATTATTAAAACTATCTATCAAACTATCAATATCAATATCAACAAAGAAATATAAAAAAATTAATAAAACTGTCAACAGCACAAAACAAAATGACACAATCGAAAATTAAAATTAAAACAAAAAATATAAAAGCTATTAATACTTACTGTAATAGTATATAAATAACACTAAAATAACACAAGCAGTATTCAATTGACCCTATTGATAACATTCTGCGAATTGTATATAGCTGTAAAACTTCACTTTAAGGTTCAATTAGTTAATGCATTATAAACTAAAAATAAAAACAACACTTCTTACAGGATATTAAGGTAATGTTATATATAAAGTAATATTATATATTAGTAAAGCCTATGTAGAAATTAACATTAATGAAGATTAATAAATGGTTTAAGTGTTATTTCATGTAAGCTATTTCAGTAAATACTGTTAACGTATAGAACCATATTGTAACGTGTTACCAACAGCACAAACCACAAGTTTAACCAAAGACCATTATGTGAGCTTTAAAAGCAATGTCATGAGTCATAGTGTGTAAACTACAGCCAAAACCAACTGGACAACATTCCTGAAGGAAGGATTTGTTCATTTACTAAGTTCACTCTTAAAACAACAGACAAATGATCATTTCTCAAATATCAGTGACTTTAAAGGCATGGAACTGATTCCAACTTGCATAATTCTACAGAGCAAAGTCTTACTAAATGAACACCAAAAACCTTTTCATGGAAAAATCCTCTATAAATTTGTCAGCTGAAAAAAATGTCACACTCATGTATATGCCAAGAATTTCACCCTGAAGGCAGCTTGCCTACAGTCAGGAGGAGAAAGAGATTTTAACCTCTCTGTGACAAGACCACCTCATATCCAGCACCACTCCCAATAACTGCCTGTTCAAGTGTGACCAGACTGACTGTTACCTGGAGCAGCTTTTCTCCATGCAGCACTAGATGACTGTTGGTAATCCCACGTTCCCTGGATCTGATTTTTAGATGCTAAATGTTACTTGGCGCAGACAACCTTTCCGCTTCACTCTCAGGGAGTCATTGAGTTATTTGTTTAAACTTCTTAGCACTCAGTTAAAACATGCAGGTTGGGTAGTAGAGACATTATTGCGGGGCTGGGAGAACGAGAAAGACAGAGAAAGAGGTGGGGGAGGGTGGCAAAGAGAGGAGGGTGAGGTGTGCTGGGACATCGAATAATTTTTAACCCTTTACTCGCTGTTGCCGAATTGAATTTAAGAGATTCTCGAGACTTAACATTCATATAGTAAAGCTCAACTTTCAGACTGCAGGGAAAACAATGCAAAATGCATTTTAACATATCACGTTACTTACTAAGATAACCAAATGAGGCACAAGTAGACAGCTTTTGTGACATGCAGTCATCTTTGAAAACCATTTAAAAAGAACTATATGAGGTAAAAGAATATATAGCTACTTGCAATAAAAATAAAATTAGAAACAAATTCAAATGAATGCTGTTCTTTGATGAAAAGTTATTTTCTTTTCAAATAAATGGTTTTCAATATTGATAATAATTAGACATTTTTCTTGATCACCAAATCAGCATATTAGAATGATTTCTGAAGGATCATGTGATTCTGAGGGCTGCAGTAATGGCTGCTGAAATTTTAGCTTTGCCATCACAGGAATAAATTACATTTTAAAATATATTCAAATAGAAAACAGCTATTTTAAATTGTAATAATATTACACAATAGTATTGTTTTTACTGTATTTTTAATTAAATAAATGCAGCCTTTGTGAGTATAAAAGACTTTCAAAAACATTACAAATTTATTGTGACCCCAAACTGTTTAATGTTAGTGTATGTTACTTGAAAATAATGTAAATATTAAATTGTAAATAGTCATGTAAATATTAGATTTTATATTGTTATTATAGTTAATATCATAATTTATATATTTTCATTATTTGAATATTTACAACATTTTGGTTTACTTTAGTGTAATAGTACTAGATTGTAACCACTCTAAT